AAACATAAAATAACAACATAATCTAACGAAAAGCTTACAATTCAAAAAATTAAAGATGAATTTATCTTACAAAAGAGTAAATTAATCCAAAGTTTTGTTTCAATAAAATGTACGGTAATTATTGAATTTTCTGTTAAAAAAAACATTCTTATTTAGAAAAAAAAAATATTAGTACAAACAATTATGAAAAAATCGAATCGAACCAAACCAAAAAAATTAAACTTAAAATATATAAGCACGATCTTTATTTTTAAAGTGATAAAACTACCTAAATTATCTAAAAGTTCTACAATTACAATACTTATTTTAATTTTTAAAAAAAAAAATATCTATAAATTATCCAAAATTATATGTAATTACATGAAATATCCAAATATGATAAAATCTTTACGTTTTTATAATGATTTTAAATATCTGATATCATATATATTATATTCATGTTATCCGATTGATTTTTCAAAAAAATATTTTTTGATGTACTTTCGATCTCCTAAATATTAATGTTTAACTCAAATATCTGCTATTATCCAATCTATTATCCAAAATAAACATATTTATATATAATTTGGTGTTAGAAAATTGTTGAATCTAGTTGAGTTCAACTGAATCTTGCAATAGATTTTGTGCTAGATTGCTAAGTCTAGCTGAATCTCGCAGAATTTGTTTACATAACAAATGTTAACTGTAGAATTACTGAATCTAACTGAATCTGACATAATTATTTTTATATGTCACTATTTACAGCCAAAATGTAACAAGAGATGAAAAACAAAAACAGAAGATCAAACTAACAAGGAGCCAAAACGGAGGATGCGAAGGTGAATCTCACGCGCCTCACCTTTCTCTCCCAAGGCGACGAAACGCAGAAAAAAAAATTCTTGAACTCCGATCTTTGATTTCGCCTGGACCGGTTGCCGGTGGCTCCGATTAGCACTGGCTTCGGTCCCTTTTGTCTTTCTTCTTGCTTTGTTTGTGTATAGGGTTTTCTTTTGCCCGTCGTGTCGAGTTTTGATGGGTTGGGTGGAGGTGGTCTGAGCTAGCCATCGGAGTTTTGATCAGTGTTTGGACCAGAGGTTTTCAGTGCCARTGACGGAGGTCGGAGCACGCRGTGAAGCGTTGGGCCCTTTGGTCTCTGGTCATCGTGTCGAGGTTCCTGAATTCCGTCTTGACCGGAGCTCGCCGTTGGAGGTCTTCGGTATGAACAGATATTGCGGTTTGCTGGTTTGATTTCTTTATGTTGGTTAGATTGCGGCTCTTCCTCTGATTTTCTATCAGAACTTTTTGAATCCAAYTGATTTTGGTTATGTGTACGAGTCCTTCCGATGGGATAGATTTCGATTCATGGTATTAGTCTCTTGGTTTTGGGTTGTTGATGGTGTTGATCGACTTGTYTTAAGCCTAGGACAGCTGATGTTCCAGGGATTTGGTCCATGAGGCGGTGATGTTTTAGTTTTAGGATTAGTTTGTGAGTCGGGTGATGTTTGGGCGTGTGAAACTCGTGTTGAAGGCAGAGGCAGATTAGTTCTGATTTATTGGTATGAGGTTTTAGTGTGGCGAGTGAAGTTAAGTTTGTGGTTTGGCTGTGGTCCGGGCTCGTGGTAGTAGCTCGTGATGAATAATGCAGCGGACTTATAGACTGGTGGTTTCGCTGGTCTTTACTCGCGAGATCCGCGGAGGCTTGGATTAACTTCCTTCTACGCTTTCCTTTACTCATTGGTGCTTTTGAGCTCTCCAATCTTTGCTTGGTTGTGTGATTTGGTTACTTTGATTTGAGTCCTCTTCGACTCTGGTTATGGTGGAATATATGGCGTTGGTGATGATGAAGATGTTTACGTGGCAGGTCCTTCTTGTCCAACAGCTCAAGGTTCTTACATTTCGTTTTAAGATTAATTCTTCATGCTGTGATATTTTTCGACAGCTTTCCCTTAACAATATTGGATCAAGTATCGTTGAAGAAGCAATCGGAGGAGTGTATTGGATTTGCGTATTTCTTCTGTTTGGTGGTTTTCAATGCTTTGGTGTTTGAATGCTTTAATTATGTTTTAAGGTTGGCTTTGGTAAGTATGTACTACCTTGTTCGGGAATTGATGTCTTCCCGACGGTTTAAGTTTGGCTTTGTTAGAGGTGCTTGGTTTGAATATGTAATTAATCTTGTATCTTTTTTTGTTTAATAAAAAATATCCAGATGAAAAAAAAAAACTAACAAAAAACCCAAAATGTTGTCGTAGAAATCAG